TCAATCTGTCTTCAACAATCTGTATCTCTTTCACAGCAACCTCCGTCTCGAAATTGATCAGATTGATGTTGAATCCACAACATCCGTGTCGAATTAACGAATGCGCACAGCTTCGAACTCCTTCGAATACTCCACGCTTGATTCTCCGGATTCCATCAAAGAAGAACACTTTGAAGTAGAACACTCAAACAATCAAACTCTTTGATGTATGTTTGTCAAATCATGTGAGTTTAATACTCAATCAAGCATCAAAGAAAACTAGCAAGATAGCCCCAGTAGAAAACCCTAAAACCCTCAAAGAAGATCTAGAAGTCGTGCCCTAGATTTAAAGCAAACTGTAGTTTTATAGTTGCTGAATTCGCGATCCCCGCTCGAGCACAGGAATGGCCACTCGAGCACGGATGCTAAAATGCATATTCCAAACTAGGGTTCATGCTCGAGTGCTGAAACTTACGCTCGAGTGTAAAAACACACCTCATAGTATTTTTGCAAATGAGCCAAAGTACTAAGAAGATGGAAATGCCGTTCAAGCGCAACTTTTCCCGCTCGAGCGAGAAGACCAAAAACAAATGAAAACTTACAACTCGATAAACCCAAGCTTGTTTGCGGAATTGGCAATAAGCAAGGTCCTAACAATCATGTATTATGCTTATTTTCCATTAAGTCAGTGATGCTTTCATCCTTTCATCTATACCTCATTCTTTTAGTTGCAGTTCACATAATTCAGCTTTTTTCCCTTTTTCTTCAGTTGCTTCAACTAATTTTGGAAATTAATTGGATTTTGACTCGATGACTATATGAATGCATGTGGTACAAAGATATGGCCAATTAACAATATTATTTTTTCAACAAAGAGACTCAACTTATGATCTTGAAGCTGGCCCCAGAAGAATCGCTAACACTTTATGTTATTACTTCCATTCACTACAACAAAAAAACATTTTTGGCGACGTTTTTTGGCAACTAAAATAGAAATTAGTCGCCAAATGCACATAATTGGCGACAATATATTTTTTGGTCGCCAAAAACTAAACTATTGGTGACGAATTAAAAATTTGGTCTCTGTTGAGTTTGGCGCCAAGTGAAATTTATAGGTGGGAGCTAAGGAAAATTTTCTGCGACCGAACTAATATATGGCAACGAAAAGTTTAGTCACCAAATGTATTGTTTTTGGCGATACCCATTGCTTAGTCACGAAAAATATAAACAACATTCATGGCGACTTAATTAATTTAGTTGCCAATAATTAATTTCTTAAACTACGCCATTTTGTATGTGTTCTATAACTTTTAATTACTAGAAATGACTGTGAATAAAGAGGTAATTGCCCCTTGAACTCCATCTCATTTGCTTCGCTCAAGACCTCAAACAACATAAGGTATTTCTTCTCTTCTTCTTCTCCATCTCTCTCTCCCTCTCACTCTATTTCGTTGTCGACTATAGAGAGAGTGTCGTCGACTACGCACCCTAGAAACGGCGTTGCCCCTTCATCTCTTGCACAGCCGATTATGAGCCTCTCTATGGTCGCTGTTATCTATCCTCTCTCTGTTGTTGTTCTTCATATTTGTTGGAGAAAACCATAGAAAATCTGTTGTTGTTCTCTATGATATATATATTCTCTCTCTCTCTCTCTCTCTCTCTCTCTCTCTCTCACACACACACACACACACAAACACACTTTATTTATTTATTTTGCCATTTTTATCTTCAAGGCTTGAATCTCATGCTCTAGATCGACGACCCTCTGTGATCTCCAAATTCGTTCAATCACACAAAATCACACTCCTATAGTTTTGAGAAATACGAAGAGTGACCCGCTTTGATACCAATTGAAAAACCTAAGTGATTCGTGATTCAGACTAGATTAATTGTAACAATACCTAAACAAATAAAATAGACAATCTAAATCATCTAGCACATACGAAAGTGATTTAGATTGATGTTTCAAAATCAATATATCAATACAATAGATTTTTATGTGGAAAAACCACAATTGGAGCACCTCCAATTGTGATTGAAAAACCACGGGCTAAACGCTACTAATCAATCCACTATGAAAGTAAGAAAGAATACAAATTAACCAAATGAATTACCCAAACTCTGTCAATCTGTCTTCAACAATCTGTATCTCTTTCACAGCAACCTCCGTCTCGAAATTGATCAGATTGATGTTGAATCCACAACATCCGTGTCGAATTAACGAATGCGCACAGCTTCGAACTCCTTCGAATACTCCACGCTTGATTCTCCGGATTCCATCAAAGAAGAACACTTTGAAGTAGAACACTCAAACAATCAAACTCTTTGATGTATGTTTGTCAAATCATGTGAGTTTAATACTCAATCAAGCATCAAAGAAAACTAGCAAGATAGCCCCAGTAGAAAACCCTAAAACCCTCAAAGAAGATCTAGAAGTCGTGCCCTAGATTTAAAGCAAACTGTAGTTTTATAGTTGCTGAATTCGCGATCCCCGCTCGAGCACAGGAATGGCCACTCGAGCACGGATGCTAAAATGCATATTCCAAACTAGGGTTCATGCTCGAGTGCTGAAACTTACGCTCGAGTGTAAAAACACACCTCATAGTATTTTTGCAAATGAGCCAAAGTACTAAGAAGATGGAAATGCCGTTCAAGCGTAACTTTTCCCGCTCGAGCGAGAAGACCAAAAACAAATGAAAACTTACAACTCGATAAACCCAAGCTTGTTTGCGGAATTGGCAATAAGCAAGGTCCTAACAATCATGTATTATGCTTATTTTCCATTAAGTCAGTGATGCTTTCATCCTTTCATCTATACCTCATTATTTTAGTTGCAGTTCACATAATTTAGCTTTTTTCCCTTTTTCTTCAGTTGCTTCAACTAATTTTGGAAATTAATTGGATTTTGACTCGATGACTATATGAATGCATGTGGTACAAAGATATGGCCAATTAACAATATTATTTTTTCAACAAAGAGACTCAACTTATGATCTTGAAGCTGGCCCCAGAAGAATCGCTAACACCTTATGTTATTACTTCCATTCACTACAACAAAAAAACATTTTTGGCGACGTTTTTTGGCAACTAAAATAGAAATTAGTCGCCAAATGCACATAATTGGCGACAATATATTTTTTGGTCGCCAAAAACTAAACTATTGGTGACGAATTAAAAATTTGGTCTCTGTTGAGTTTGGCGCCAAGTGAAATTTATAGGTGGGAGCTAAGGAAAATTTTCTGCGACCGAACTAATATATGGCAACGAAAAGTTTAGTCACCAAATGTATTGTTTTTGGCGATACCCATTGCTTAGTCACGAAAAATATAAACAACATTCATGGCGACTTAATTAATTTAGTTGCCAATAATTAATTTCTTAAACTACGCCATTTTGTATGTGTTCTATAACTTTTAATTACTAGAAATGACTGTGAATAAAGAGGTAAATTGCCCCTTGAACTCCATCTCATTTGCTTCGCTCAAGACCTCAAACAACATAAGGTATTTCTTCTCTTCTTCTTCTCCATCTCTCTCTCCCTCTCACTCTATTTCGTTGTCGACTATAGAGAGAGTGTCGTCGACTACGCACCCTAGAAACGGTGTTGCCCCTTCATCTCTTGCATAGCCGATTATGAGCCTCTCTATGGTCGCTGCTATCTATCCTCTCTCTGTTGTTGTTCTTCATATTTGTTGGAGAAAACCATAGAAAATCTGTTGTTGTTCTCTATGATATATATATTCTCTCTCTCTCTCTCTCTCACACACACATACACACACAAACACACACTTTATTTATTTATTTTTCATTTTTATCTTCAAGGCTTGAATCTCATGCTCTAGATCGACGACCCTCTGTGATCTCCAAATTCGTTCTTAATCTCCAAATTTGATTCCCTCAAGTAAAAGATCTCTACTTTGTTTCATGGTTTATATATGTGTTTGCGTAATTTAATCTATTAATTTCTTCTTTTCACCTTCATTTTTGTTCTACATCTCTTCTTTATCTTTTATTACATTCACTAAACTTGATTGAATTCATTGTTATTGTTTGTGTATACACACACACAGATATATATTTGTCAATTTGTGGTGATTTGTGATTTTATGTTTTTGATTTAGGGGTTTCATCATTTCATTATAAAAAAATTGCAATTAATTCCTATGAAATTTTTGTCCCAATATCTATGGAACTAGTTTTTTTTTTTTTTCCTCTTGCCCTTTTGATTCAGGGGTTTCATGATTTTGTTTTCATTATAAAAATTTTTTGATTAATTTCTTTTTGGAAGATTTACGATCAATTTGGCTCACTCAATGAAAATAAAAGTAAAATTATTAGTTGCGAAATTCTAAAATTATTACTCCCCCAAATGAGTTTACAACGCAAATTGTAACTGTTACTCCCACAAATGGGTTTCATAGAGTAACTTGCATATAACCTAAAATTTTGCATATCATAGTATTGTTTTCATTTTCAAAGTTTTGTAATAGTTTTATGTTTTCATTATTTTTTTAATAGAGCAAGAAGGTACACTTTGTTTATTCGATTCCTCTATTTTTCTATCTTTGTTTTCCCTAATTTTTAGAATTAATATTTTCCCTAATTTTTTGAAACTAATGAGACATGCAGTGTCCCATATGTGATTTCTTCGGACTATATTTTTGTATTTAAAGGTTATGTTCATCTTAGTTTCCATGTGCTTGCCATGTTATTGGTTCTTTATGGGCATCTTGTATTTTACATAAATTTTCAGTTTGAATACAGTAATTGACAGCAATTAGACAGTTTAAGTAGTGGTAATTTAGAAGTGCCCATCTTTGTTACTTATCAGGAGGACTACCATAGTAGAAGGGGCATTTTTTGCTATTTTTTTTTGTGAATTGAATGGGTGACCAAAGAATTTATGATAGCATGGTTGTGTGGTTTAGAAGGTTTGATATTGGGCAGGAGTGAGTGGTTTAGAAGGTTTTCATATGGTGATTACATTTGATAAGGATTGTGATGGGTTATAGCATCTTGAATGGAAGCATGCTTATTGTGGAGTGCTGCTGTATAGCTTTGATGTGGGTGTAGGCTTGGTGCTTAGTTTTTCTTTGTTTGCTAAATTGGGCTGTATATGGTACACTCATTGTTTAGCCCATTAATCATAAGTTTGACCACTCCTATAGTTAAAATTATATGCATTTTTGCATATGAATAACAAAATAATCATTAACATATCAATTGTATAGACTTGCCGAGGCAAGTGTTCCATTACTCTGACTTTTGGACCGTCCTCTCCTTCAGAAATGGCCTTTTGGTTAAATTGACAAAGGGATTAGTTGATGGTTAGCATAATAATATGTTTAAGCTTGAAGATTAGCTGCAGTTAATGGTAGTAGTTTGTCTCAGAAAATGGGAGTGGGCTTAAGCAGCTCGAACATCTCATTTTGAAGGTCTTTACAGAATCTCAAGCTATTAGAAAACCAATATATTGTAACAGAAGAATCATTTGTCACTTCATGTTTTATTCTTTGCTTATTTCATGAGAGAAAATTATTAGAGCGTAGTTATTAGTAACTTTTCATTGGATTAATTAACTTTATTGAAGGAGAAAGTGATGATATTCGTTCCCATATCTTTTATGGTTGATGAAGTTGTTATCATGTTTAATGATCTTTCGGTTTGCTTTTGTACTTGGTTTGCTTAAGAAACACATTGCTTTCCATATTGCATGAGCAAGAAGGTGCACTTTGTTTATTCGATTCCTCTATTTTTCCATTTTCAGGTATGGTCTTCTCTCTCACTCAATTTCTCTATTTTTCTATCTTTGTTTTCCCTAATTTTTAGAATTAATATTTTTCCTAATTTTTTGAAGCTAATGAGACACGCGGTGTCCCATATGTGATTTCTTCGGGCTATATTTTGTATTTAAAGGTTATGTTCATCTTAGTTTCCATGTGCTTGCCATGTTATTGGTTCTTTATGGGCATCTTGTATTTTGCATATATTTTCAGTTTGAATATAGTAATTGAGAGCAATTAGACAGTTTAAGTAGTGGTAATTTAGAAGTGCCTATCTTTGTTACTTATCAGGAGGACTACCATAGTAGAGGGGGCATTTTCTGCTATTTTTTTGTGAATTGAATGGGTGACCAAAGAATTTATGATAGCATGGTTGTGTCTATTGAGAAATACATTTGAAATAGCATTCCAAATGAGGATATTGTGTATCATTTTCAACATAAAAAAGTTGTAGAAGCCATTTGTAAATCAAATTTGCAAGAAATATTTGATTTTTCATTTTCAACTTGTTTTAATGATCAATGAGGATACAATTTCATGTGTGATTTTAGGTAAGTTTGGGTAAGGCATATCAAGTTTCCTATGGAAAAATGAGTAGTGGAATAAGACTGATTGACCTCATAAAGGGACTGGCCATGGCCAAAAATGAAATCAACAGAGCCTTGGATGAAGCAATTATTGAAATAGTGAAGGCCCTTGTGATCATAAAGGGTGTCTTGAGCACCATAAAAACTGTAGTTATAAAATGCAGCCTCAGTCCCTGATATCCTTAGCACCACTGCTACCCTCCTGCTAATCCATCCTCATGCGCTGCTGTGTTCTGCATTACCCCCCACCCACATAATTTAACAGAAAAGCCAAACACCAAGAATTTATGATCAGAATTTTATTCCCAAAATTAGTAATGCACGGTTCAAATTTAACTTTTGTATGTTGAAGCAATGAATCCGAACCATGCATTGAAATTTTTTAGTAAAAATTCTGTGTATGTAGGATTGTAGAGAATTTAATGATGTAGAGATTCAAAAAAAAAAAAAAAGATGGTCCATAAGCCTAATTTGTTGTGTTGTGGGAGCTTTGCAGTTGTGAGTTGGCCTGGATTAAAGCCATGAAGGTTCTGAATTTCTTTTCAGAAAACCCATGATCTCATGAATGTGTAGTTCTTATGGACTCCACAAGGGATGCCAATTTTGATTGTTTCGGTCTTTTGGAGTGATTCAAGTAGCAGGGGAATGTCTTTCTGTCTCTTCTTATTCCATCATATACAATAGTCTCTTCTTGTAAGCTGTAAGATAAATTGATAGAGAGAGAGAAAATAAATTAAGATAAATTGATAGAGAGAGAGAAAATAAATTGTGTATATATTGATTGATGAATTACAAGGTTGTTGTGTTATTGATATTACAAGGATTCCTATTATATAGAAGAGGATTTGGGTAGTAGGTGAGGAGTAGGTGAGGGTAAGTTGGTGGTAGGTGTAGTAGGTGTGGTAGTAGGTGTAGTGGGTTAGGTTTAGTGGAGTAGGTGAGGTGGTAGTGGTGGTAGGTGATGGTAAATTCTAACATAAGCCATAATAAATTGCTGTTGGATATGCAACAAAATATGGTTAAGGCAACATCTAGTTACAGTAATGTTATACTTAACACAAACAAAATCTAATTATCTTATTATTAATTGAATTATTAGGACTATGTGGCATTGGTGACTATCAAGTCATTTGGCCAAGGAAGATTGCAGTCTAATTTTTAAACTCTGGCATCTAATTCCCTTTTTTCTTGAATTGTTTGGGATTTCAAACCACTTACATTGTTTCTCACATAAAATCCTTATTATTTATATGTATATATTCTTTTTTTGGGTGTTGTTGGTATGTTTGTTCCCTTTCCTCTTATAAGCACTTCTAGAGACAGGGGGAAACAGAACAAGAGAGACACTAATGTGCTGGAACTTCCCTTTGGATGGCATGTGGCAACATCATGATAGGACATAGTCAAGATGGGTTGTCCCTTGGTCATATGGACAATCAGTATTCAAAATGGTAAAAGAACTGTGCCAGGGAGTATATAGCTTTCAACTGAAGTTCTCAAATCTGGACCATCCTTTCTTCCTCTGGCTAAGGTGTCACCTATTGGATTAATTGCATGGAAGATGTCATTTATGTACCCATAAGATCACAGCCATGATCACTACTCACAACATGAATTAAGTGCTTATAATTTATAGCTATGTATGAATTTAGGTAATTTATGAGATTGGGTAATTTTAGTTTTCCTCTGCATTAGTTGATCAACAGAAATTCAGTGATTAACATCAAGAGAATGACCATGTTTACTATGTAAAATGTACGGCAAAAAATTGGACATGATGACATTTTTTTATCTTTTATTTTTTGTCATTGAAGTTTGCTATTTTTTGAAAAAACATCAAAGTATTTTAGTTGTCTTTTTTTTAAAGCAATGTTATGTGTTATTAATTTTTCATTATCTTTTATATTACTATTTATATGAATCATCATATGATATATCTTATTTAGTGATGATTATTAAAAAATCAGAGCATAAACAACTCCAGCTTCCAAATCCTTAAATACCTTCTAGAAGCATAACAACCAAAGTGAACAATTACTGAAAAAGCTCTAGCTCAACTAAGCCTTATAGTAAGCCTTAGAGAAGTGATCAAATTTAGAAACCAAGTTCAATGACATGGTAGCAGATATAATGGATTAAAATGACGAACTCACCAAATTCTTTGGTTTGATCTTATCGGGTTTTGGTTTAGCTTTGGTTGGTGATTGGCATTTGTATGAGAAATTAGCTCCAAATTCTCTGATGTTGTTTCTCCCAAAAAACTTGATGTCTGTTGCTCTTGTTTTTTGCTGCATGGTGGTGATGCTCAAGAACAAAATTGCTTTTAGTGATCATTGTTTTTTCTCTCATCTGTATTGCTGACTTAATAATTTTTTTTTAAAGTATTTATTCTATTTTTCTCTTATTTGAAAACTTGATCCAGATTTGATTTGATCCAGTCTCTGTTCAGTCTAGAAGGGATGTATTTACCTGGTTATTTTTCTTAGAGTTGATTTGACCTTAATCATCCTTCTGTTTTTACTTCTATAGCTTTAATATTGCACAACTTTCTCACAAGGGAAAAACATGATTCAGCTGAAAGTTGTACTTGTAAAAAACAAAAATGAATGTTGAAAATATTATGAAATGTATGATAGATTTGATTCTAAAAGAGAAGCTTTGTTTCCTCTGTTTTTTGGTCAGATCCAATAGAGAAGATAAATCTCTATGAAAATAATTAGATCATCTGCCACCTTGATGGAAAGTTCTTAATGTTTTTACCTTCCAAGAGCACATCTGAAGAAAACATGATGATGAAGATGAAAAGTTCATGTAAATATTGTACAAAATATAATGTATTTGGACCCTTGTAATATATAGGAATAGCCCCCCATGTGCTTGTATATGTGGTGTTTTAACAGGTTGGAGGCTTCTCCTTTATTTGCCAATTTCTATGCTGCTCCTATTGTGCTGTCTGCTACTTTTGTGCTGGCTTTGCTTAGGTTTTCTGTGTGCCATCTTACTAACCAATCAATATTATCTACTTATATTTACTTTTTGTGTTAGGATGATTACAATTTTTATTGTATCTTTATTCATTATTCTATTTATTTCAAAATGGCGGGACAATATGATAAAGTTCCAGGATGCACATTGCTCCGAACCTGGTGTGGTTCCAATTACTCCAGAGGAGCTATCTGTGAAGGTGCTCAAGTGAAGGTCGGGATATGTTAAAGGACTTGGTTTGAGGCCTTCGTCCTTGGTCAGGACTACCACTGCTTCTACTGACTGTGACTATGTAAGGCGTCTGGAGATGGAAATACAAGAGCAAAAGGAGGAAATTCAGTCACAAAAAGAGGAAATTATAGCATAGAAACATGAATTCAAGCACAAAGTTATGTGATAGCAAAGATGAATGAGTTGAGAGAGGAGCATTTGGAGATAACGTCAAGTATCATGGAGTTTCTTAAGAAACAAGGTTTCAACGGACAATTTAGGGGAGGGGGCATCCCATGAACTCGTAGATCGCCTTTTTGGTAAGTCCATCTTGTTTTATCTTTTCATTTTTCTCATGTTGGTTAGTATATATTAATTAAAAAACAACTATTTAAGAAAGTTACACTTTCGAACTCAATTAGGCTACCTTTTACCAATAATTAACCTATGTGCCAATCCCTTCTGCATTAACACCATAGCTAGATCAGCACTTGCTGAAGGGTCTAAAATGAAGAGAAACTTTGCAACATTGTTAAATTGCTGTACAAACATTGTAACATTGAAAATGATCATAAGATACTGAAACGCTTAGTTTCATATTGTTTATGCCAATCTATCTTAGTTCGAATTTTGTGAAATTGAAAACCCATTAAAAACAATCAAACCATATCGGTATTTCTCATTTCTTTCTAAGCAAAGTTGGAGAAACAGTGTGTGAGATAGTGAAATTGTATCAAAGGGACATCCGCTGGTAGATAGTGAAATTTGTGGAGAAAATTGGAGTTAGTACAAGAAAGATCCAAGTTTCATTGAACCATTCTATATGACAATAAAAGTCATCATGTTGCTTGATTGTTTTCAATATTGGCAGGTTCATAGGTGTTCATGTAACTTACAAGAACTTGCCCCCAATTAGATTAGTTGTTGTTTTGTGATTTTAGATTAGCTGTTGTTTTGTGATTTAGTACATATGAAAGTCAAGTTTTGGTAGAAAATGTATTTTTGCTAAATTGGTTTACGCATATATAAAATTATTTATGTATGAGTTTATATGTAATTGATAATATATTAATGTTTTCCCTTTTTTTTTTTTTTTTTTTTTTTTTTTTTTTTTTGCAGATTGATTTTTGATGACATTTGGAAGCATATTTGCAAATCAAGATCGAGTGTTAATTTTTATTTTTATTTTTATGGATTGATATAGTTCTACTTGCAACTCAAGATCAAGTGTTGATTTTATTTTTGTAGACTGATACTTAGTTCATTTTGGGATTTGCTGTGACCTTTGTTATAGTTAATGAATTGTTATTAAATTTGTTTGATGAATATATTTTGATTTATAATATAAATTGTTTAGTGAATTTTTTGTGTGGAGTGGTGTATAATAGCTAGTGGATTTCTTAATACATTTAGAAGGTTACTGAGATATGAGCAGGGATATTTGTAAAATAATAATTTAAATTGAAATATAAAATATGGAACAAGTTTAGTGACGAATTTTTTTGCCATATGTACTTGTTATTATGACAAAGTGACTATTTGTCGCTAATAAATATTTTTTGTGTGCAAAATTTATGGTTGTTTTTATGTGAAAGTTTTTATTGATTTTGTTGTTTGGTGACTAAAAATTTCGTCACGTATATATATTTTGTAACGAAATATATTTCGTTACTCATGTTTGACTTTTGGAGAGGAAAAATTTCATCAACTCTACATGTTACTGTGACGAAATTATTTTCTCATTAATGATCATGTGTGACAAATTTATTCGTTAATTAAAATTATATATACAGTACTGGACAACGATTTGGTGACGAAAATGATGATTTTTGGTGATAAAATGTTGTTTTATTGGTGACAAAAATTTTCGTTGCTAAATTAATTTAATTGGTGACAAAATTATTTTTCTTTACGGTAATTTTTAGTAACAAACATTCAATGACAAAATTGATGAGGAAAATATTTCCTCACAAATATCTATAGTGACGAAATTAGCACTTTGGAGACAAAAAATTCATCATTCAAGACCCAACTTCTTGCAGGTCCAGTTTTGTTTCCGCTCATCTTTTTCACCTTCCGGGCCTCTGTTTACATCATTTTAAAATGTTTTTCCATATGCATTTTAAGGACACGAAACAAAATAAAGAATTGAATGGGAATCGAACGAGAGAAATGAATAGAGATTGAACAATCGAATTGAGTAGTATTGAAAGAATGTGATTGTAATTGGGTTATGCTTGAATTTATTTGTTTAGGTCAGACGCCAAACCGTTAGTACGTGTGTCAAGAAGCCCACTATGAGTAACACTATTGTAAAGATATGTTCAATTGTATTTATTTTCTGATTGATAAATTATATTATTTTTTGAAATGATTCTTTTTATCGATTGAATGATGACCTTATTTTCTGAACTGTATTCGTGGCATCCTTAGCATATTGCTATTATTATTGATATTGTTTTCGCTATTGTTACAAAGATCTCTATCAGTTCTAATTCTTGAAACTATTGTTTATTGTTTGATAGCCATCAATTGATTGTTCGATCTTTAAGATGTATTATATTGTTACTATTAGATGTACCACGTATGACTTATATGAATATGATTGATTGAATTGAATGATTGAACGATTGATTGACAAAAAGATATTGATTGAAAATGTTCTATTGATAATCGGTTGTTTCAAATACTGTAAGGACATTATTCTTAACCTCTTTACACAACTATTATTCACTGGACTCTAACTCACTGTTTACTATATACATATATAGGTGATCGAGTACCGGATCAAAGATAGTGGCGACGACCCGAACCCTTGTTTTGTCAATCCAGCTATTGTGCCTCATCACAAGGTTCCGAACCAACATGTGTCACGGCTTTTTGGGTGGCTCAAATTCACCCTTTTAATATTGCTAAGTTGAAAGAATGTTTTTGACTTTTGTTAATACTGTTTTTGATAAGGGGATTTAATTCCCTAACTTGTATTTTGTCTTGTATATATATATTTTATGGACATAAGTATTTGTGGACAAAACTATGTATATGAAAGTTTATTTCCATTCAGGTCCTCACAGGTCATCGGACGATATATGTTATTATTGATTGGCTTCCGCCAGTCGCTTTATATTGTAGTATTATCATTATTGTTAAACAGGCCTTTGGTAATCACGGATTACTGGCCGGTTACGACGCTAAACCTATAGAGGCGGGTTTAGGTCGTGACAATATATATATATATATATATTCTTCATATTAATTTTAGAGAAATTTCTGAGAGTATAGAACACAGATTCTGGTTCGCCGAAACAGATTATTTTAGTACTAATACAATCTGTTCAAGATCATTATATCCTAGGAGATAGACGTCATTATTTCGTAAGCACCTGAGCAGAGCGAATCTGTCTTAAGGACAGAGTATTACGCACTCGACTTGATCATTCTTGTTCATAAGTTGTTTTGGTAAATAAATTATGTAAGTAATTTATTTTGTTTATTTGATTTGTTTCAAGTTATTTATTATACACAGAAGATTGTTCCAACAATCTTAAGACAGATTCGAATTATTCTATTTATACAGAATTTTTCATTTGTTTCTTTTTCTTATTTTCTTCTTCTTACGGAATTTATTTTCTGTACTTATACAAAGTAATATTCTGGTTGGAAAATACAAATAGTAGTAATATACTATTTATTTTCTTTGACAAATAGTAGTAATATATTGTTTATCATTAACAATTTCAAAATATTAATTTATGAAGTTGGTCAGAAATTAATTTTGATTTTCAGAAATAATTTTTAAGTTTTCATTAATTAAAATTCTGTTTTCAGTATTTTAATTTTTGAAGTGTTACAAAAATATTTTTTCTGTGTGGAATTAATTTGTTTAAATAAATTTTATTTTCAAATTAATTGGAAATAAAAGTTACAATTCTTGTTTCTTTTATTTTTACAGAATTAAATTTTGTGTTTATGGTTTAATTTTCTATGTAGTATAAAATTCTAATTATAATTTTGTTTTATAATTTAGAATTCCTGGCTATTGCAACTAGTCAAACTAATGTTGAAACTAGTACTGGTGTGGTGACTGCAATTGCTCAACCCCTCCTCCTGTTGTGACTGTACCAGTCAATCACGGTGAAAAGGCAGAGAAGTTCTTAGGAACTAATTTTAAAAGATGGCACTAGAAAATGATGTTCTGTCTTACTTCTCTTAACCTAACACGTTTTCTCCGTGAGAATGCTCCCACTCTAAAAGAGGATGAAACCGACCGACAAGTAGTTATTGCGGTCGATGCCTGGAAACATGCTGATTTCCTTTACCAGAACTATATCTTGAACGGACTTGATAACACATTGTACAACATCTATAGTCCTATCAAGATGGAAAAGGAACTTTGGGAGTCCTTGGAGAAAAAGTATAAAACATAAGATGCTGGCTCAAAGAAATTTGTGGTTGGCAAATTTTTAGATTTTGTGATGACTGATTCAAAAATTGTGATCGGCCAAGTTCAAAATCTCTAACTTATTCTACATGACATTCATGCAGAAGGCATGTCTCTCAGTGAATCCTTCCAAGTTATTGCCTTAATTGAAAAATTACCATAAGGCTGGAAGGAATTCAAGAACTACCTCAAACACAAGCACAAATAAATGACTTTGGAGAAATTAATTGTGCATGCGTTTGAGGATTGAAGAAGACAACTGCAATTCTGAGAAGCGGGTTGATAAGCATCCAATGGAGTCTAAGGCAAATGTGGTGGAACATGCACCAAAAGCAAATAAATAGAAGTATTTCGGAGAATGTTCCTCACAAGGCTCTAAAGGAGGGGAAACTAAGAAGTACAAGTTTAATGGAAAATGTTACATCTGTGACAAAGAGGCACATCAGGCCAAAGATTGTCGTAGCAAGAGCAAAAGAAAAAGAAGATCAAGCAAGAAACCTGCTCAAGCCAATATGACCGAAGTGGACAAAATTTCCAATGGTGTAGATGACATAAATCTTTCTGCAGTTGTTTCCGAGGCAAACCTTGTTGGAATCCTAAAGAATGGTGGGTGGACACTGGTGCTACTCGCCACATCTGTGCCGACAAAAAGATGTTCACATCTTATTATGTGGTGAACAACGGTGAATAACTATTTGTGGGCAACTCCTCGACTTCTAAAGTCGAAGGACAAGGAAAGATTATTCTGAAGATGACATTTGGAAAGGAACTCACTTTCAACAATATGTTGCATTTACCAGACATTCGCAAAAATCTTGTTTCCAGATCTCTGTTGAGTAAGAATGAGTTCAGGCTAGTTTTTGAAAATGACAAATTTGTACTTACCAAAAATGGGATGTATATAGGAAAAGGTTATATGAATGATGGCCTTTCAAAATGAATTTATGACAATTGTTTCTCTTATGATTAATAAAAACACATCTTCTTCTTACTTTCTTGAGTCTTCTAATTTATGGTATGGTAGATTAGGATATGTTAATTATGAATCTTTGCGTACATTAATTAATATAGAATGTTTGCCTAAATTTGAAATTGATTCAAATCATAAATGTGAAATTTGTGTTGAAACAAAATTAACTAAAACTTCTTTTCATTCAATTGAAAGAAATACAGACCACTTGAATTAATTTATAGTGACATTTGTGATTTTAAATCAATTCAAACTAGAGGTGGGAAAAAATATCTTATCACTTTCATGGATGACTATACTAGATATAGTTATGTTTATTTAATTTGAACCAAGAATGAAGTTTTGGAAACTTTCATTCAATATAAGAATGAAGTTGAAAATCAACTTGGTAAGAAAATTAAAAAAACTAAGAAGTGATAGAGGTGGTGAATATGAATCACCTTTTGGTGAGTTTTGTAAAGAATATGAAATAATTCATCAAACCACCAGTCCTTACTCACCCCAGCAAAATGGAATTGCTGAAAAGAAAAATAAGGCTTTAAAATAAATGATGAATGTCATGTTGATAAGTTCTAGATTGCCTCAGAATTTGTGGGGGGAAGCAATACTTTCTGCTAATTATATTCTTAATAAAGTACTCCGAAAGAAAGTGAATCAAACACATTATGAGATGTGGCATGGGAGAGTATCATCCTACAAATACTTAAAAGTGTGGGGGTGTTTGGCTAAAGTGGCTATTCCTAGTCCTAAAAGGACTAAGAAAGGTCCTAAAACTGTTAATTCCATATTCATTGATTATGCCAAGAATAGTAGTGCATATTGGTTTTTGATTCATAAGTCAGAACATTCCGAAATGCATGTAAATACTATTATTGAACCTCGAAATGCATCATTCTTTGAACATGTGTTTTCTAATAAAACTGGACAAGAGACTAATACTAATAAAAGATCTTATGATGCTATTACTAGTCATAATCAAGAACAAGATCAAGAACAAGAGCAAAAGTTAGATCAAAATGAGGAAGAGAAACCTAGGCGTAGTAAACGTGCTAGAACCTCAAAATCTTTTGGTCCAGACTTTCTAACTTTGTTGTTAGAAAATGAGCCTTTAACTTTCAAAGAAGCATATGTCCAGTCCTGAGGCTCCTTTATGGAAAGAGGCTGTACATAATGAAGTTGAATCTATTTTGCAAAATCACACTTGGAAATTGGTAGATTTGCCACAGGGTTATAAACCTCTTGGGCACAAGTGGATTTTCAAGAGAAAAATGAAAGCGGATGGCTCAATTGACAAATACAAGGCAAGACTTGTGGTTAAAGGATATAGACAAAAAGAAGGTCTTGATTACTTTGACACATACTCACCAATTACTAGAATAACATTCATTAGAATGCTAATTGCCATCACATCTTTTTACAATCTAGAAATTCATCAAATAGATGTGAAAAAGCTTTCTTAAATGGTGAGTTAAATAAAGAAATTTACACAGAACAATCAGAAGGATTTTCAGTTCCAGAAAAAGAAAAGAAAGTGTGTAAATTGGTTAAATCATTATATGGTTTAAAACAAGCACCAAAGCAATGGCATGAGAAATTTGACAAGGCAATGATAGATTTAAAATTAATGAATGTGACAAATGTGTTTATACTAAAAACACAAACAAAGGTTATGTTGTAGTATGTCTTTATGTGGATGATATGTTCATCATAGGTAGTAATAATGACATGATTAAAATTACCAAGAAAATGTTGAATAAATATTTTGACATGAAGGACATGGGGATTGCTAATGTAATTCTTGGTATGAAAATTACCAAAACATCAGAAGGATATGCTTTGTCACAATCACATTACATTGAGAAAATACTTAAAAAATTTAGCAAAGATGATGATCATCTTGCCAGAACACCTGTGGATGTTAATTTGTTTCTTTCTAAAAATGTATAGGAAAATGTTTCTCAATTAGAGTATGCCCAAATTATTGGAAGCTTAATGTACTTGATGAATTGCACTCGCCCAGATATAGCCTATATAGTAAGTAAATTAAGTAGATATACGAGTAATCTAGGAGTAGAATACTGGAAAGCTATTATAAGGGTTGTAAGATATCTCTGATTTACTCTTAACATTCGGCTAAATTATACTAGATGTCCAATAGTACTTGAATTGGATATCTGATACTAGAGACTCAAAATTCACTAGTGGGTATGTCTTTACTCTTGGTGGTACGGCTGTATCTTGAAAATCTTCCAAACAAACTTACATTGCTAGGTCTACTATGGAATCAGAGTTTATAGCTTTAGATAAAGCTAGGAAAGAAGCAGAATGGCTTCGTCACTTCCTCGAAGATATTCAAATGTGGTCAAAATCCGTGCCTACTATATGTATACATTGTGATAGTCAATCAACAATAGTATTGTGAGTCACGACACATTCGTCGTCGACATAACACCGTGAGACAACTACTCCCTAATGGAATTATTTCCATTGAATATGTGAAGTCTAAAGATAACATAGTGGATCCACTAACCAAAGGGTTAGCAAGAGAGTTAGTTGAGAATTCATCGAGGGGAATGGGACTTAAGCTTGTTAAATAAGAGTTACCACAACGACAACCTAACCTAGTTGACTGGAGATCCCAAGATCTAGATTCAAAGGGA